CTTCTCTTGGAAAATCCCCATGAACAAGTGAAATGTTGAAAGTTTTTGTTTTCTCCTTTCTTTTTGAGCCCTTTAGCTATTCCTGGGCATTGAGGGGACAGGGAACTCATAGGGCATCCTCGGAAGCCCCCACCAGGCTTGCTGTAAACTCCAGGCCCCTCCACCCCCCAGCCTCAGCCACAGCAGCCCCGCTTTTGTCTGCTTCCCAACTTGGAGTTTCCTGCTAGAATCGACTCTGTACAAATGGGTGTTTCTCTTAAACGATCTGAAGTCTGTTCTTTTTGATTTATAGAGGCATGATTGGTTTGGGAGGTTGATAAAAAGAAGTCACAGTATTTGGGGAATTCTTCTTATAACACCGTCTCCCCCCTCCCCCCCAAACTTAATATATATGTGTTCATGTTAAGTATTATTGCGATATTATTGCTTCTCATATGTCTAGCATACAGAGTATGGGGTTGTTATATGGCATACAGAAGGAACATGTTTAAAGATAAACCATGACATCAGATTTTTTAGTGACCCCAGTAACTGGTTGGGGCTTTTCCTTTTATATATTCTCATGGAGATTTTTCAACAAATGATTAATTTTCTCCTGTCTCTCCCTTTTTTCAAAAGAATGATTTGATTCCTTAACTTCCTCCTAGGGTGACCAATAGAGTTGTTTAAAATTATTTTTAAAGATATGAACTCAAGGATTTAATAGTTGTGCTTCAGTTCATTGCAGTAATTATCCTTTCTGCCACTCAGTTTTCTACATTGAGGAGCCTCATCACCTCTGCTGTTTTTCATATAACCTTGCAGAACCTGAAAGCTTTCTTGCTTCCTGGTTCAACAAGATGCCCCACTGTCATTTTGCCATTTCCTACATAAAACTTATAATTTCTCCTTTTTCTGAGGGACTCAGGTTATTTCTGAAAGAAGAAAAGCTCCATTTTGCCTTTTTTCCTTCTATTTTAACACAATCTACAGAAACACACGCCAACAGTAAAGAAAGCTGAAGAAACCCTGCATCATATATACTAGTTTGAATATGAACATAGTCATTACGGGAAAGGGTACAGTGTTCACTTGAAGAGAAAGAGTTGGGTAGGTGTCAGCGCAGGTGATCATTTGAAGTACTGATGTGTTCAGGCTTTTAGGCAAGTGTAGTTTTGTTGTTCCATTTCATATTATACTGTGTATACCGGCCCTCTGAACTGTTAGCTTCTCTAATGCTACATGTACGTAAATACAAAAGAAGATATGCGGCTCATTAGGAAGCAACAAGCCCTGGCTGGTTTGGCTCAGTGGTTAAAGCATTGGCCCACAGACTAAGGGGTCGTGGGTTTGATTCCTCCGGTCGAGGGTGTCTGCCTCGGTTGTAGGCTCTATCCCTGGCCTGGATCAGGGCGCGAGCAAGAGGCAACCAACCCATGTATCTCACATTGACGTTTCCCTCTCTCTGTCTCTCCCCATCCCTTCCAGTCTCTAAAAAATATAGGAAAAAGTATCCTTGGGTGAGGATTAACAGCAGCAACCAGTGAAAAAATATCCTTGGGTGAGGATTAACAGCAGAAACCAAAAGAAATCAACAGTTATTGTTTAAGATCTTTGTACTCTGAGCAATGAGAAACCAGAGAGTGTTAAATATTTTAAAATTTATTTTAAGCTCATCTAAATGATTTATTTTTATCTGCATGCCCCAGTTAATGAAAGACACAAAGGCCAAGGCATATAAAAATCAAAGAGTGGGCCTCTGCTGAGGGCTGCGGGACAAAGGCAGAGTGATCTGTGATGTCACTGAAACCATGGCACCTTTGAAATCTACCCCCCTCTTCCCATGGCAGGGTGCTGGGCCATCTTTCCTGGCTGATGGGAACGACTTGTATATTCATTTAGCCTCATTATTTTCACTGTAAATCATTTCTTAAAAATCCATTTCACGTTTATGCTCTAAAATTTAAACATCACCTTACTGACATGCATTCTAGCATTCCCCTTTTGGCAGTGTACCTATGTAATAAACAAGGTACAGATTGGAGTCTGGCTGGAATGAACGGCTGGAATAGGTTTTATCTTCACACCTCTTCTTTCCTTTGGTCTTATATCTTGCCTGGGCATTGCCCATCTATAATAACAAAACCTTAATATGCTAATAAGACTGGACGTCCTTCTGGACGAAGCTGGGGCTACAAGGAAAGCCTGGTCCCGGGTGCCTGCCGTTTGCCTGAGGGAAACCCTGTCCCGGGTGCCAGGGGGAAGCCGGTGCTGGCAGCAGGAGGAAGGAAGGCCTGCTCTGTTGGTGCGTGTGCTCATGTCTTAGATCCTAACACTGTTCCCAGACCGAGGTAACATTTGTAGGTTCATTTGGAAGAATTTGGTCTCCGTATGCCCCTTCAGTCGCATCGGGGGAGAAGCCACTCCATCTCTGTGATCGCAGCGAGTCATTATGGAGCAGTTGGCGCTGATACGCTTGCGCAGACACAAATTGAGTCCGACAGGACTGATGTCGCCTGGACTTTGCTGTCCTTAGAAATGCAGGCGTGAGGATGGGAGTGGTGAAGGGGGAGGGGAAGTGGGAAGCTGATTCCTCTGGCACCTTTCCTAGGAAGTTTTGAGATTTTAACATGTGATAGCTGTGAACGGTTTGATGTGCTGTTTTCCAGATAAGATTGATAACAATAGCTGACTTGGAGCAGCTGGCTAGCGCTTGGTTTCAAGTAGATGTGTGTCAACGTACAATATGCTTCTTCATGTCACCCACAAATTGACAGAAAGAAAAGAAAAAGACTACTTAGTGGAATTATAATTAGAATGATTTCCCCCCTTCCTTTTAGTTTTATCTTTCCTGCATTCACACCACTCACACATAGTAATGAAAATGATAATATCTCAAAAAGTTTTCATGTTCAAGCTCAGTTTCAGAAAAGACCCACTATAGGATCTACATTACAATACGTCTTAAAAAAGACAAGTTATTTTGGTGGATTTGGTTATTTCTAGATATCTCTAGTATTTCCTGTCAAAAATGTTGTATGTGTTTGAAATATTTCAATATACAAAACTTAAAGATGCACTGTTTCATTTTGGAATAGAATTCTGATTGTCATTCTCAAGTGCTTCTCACAACGATAGAGGAAACACAGCATTCAATATTCTCTCTCTCATGAGCCTACTCTGTAAGAGGCCCTGCAAGATTTATTGAAGGTTCTATAGGAACAATTATTTATTACCTGTAGAGTCATACTTCACCTTGTTGCTTGAAGCCAGTTCCCGCTTCCCTTTTCTTCCATTCCCACCAGGACAGCCATCGCTCTTATGGTCTGTGTTACTTCTCACCTGGGACTCCTGCTATGGCCTAATAGCATTCTCTAAATCATCCCACGCTCAGCTGTCAGTTAATCGTCCCAAGGCCTAGTTGCATGTTGTTCCTTGGCTCCAACACCTTAAATAGCTCTCTTTGTGGTTTGCCGAATAGAGGCTGGTTGCCCTAGACTGGCATCCCAGGCTATCCGGGACCTTTTTTTTTCTTCTTTTTCTCAAGCCTGAACCATTTTCGTTTGCCACCTCTTCTATTGGTTTCCTAATGGATCCATCATTCCAGCCCACTGTCTCAGTGTGGCCTCTGGACCAGCTACATCAGCATCACCCAGAAACTTGTTAGAAAGTCAAGTTCTTGGACCTGACTGCAGACCTACAGAATCCCAGACTCCGGGGGGGATGCCCAGCTACCTGTTTCAACAAGCCTTCCAAGTGAAGTGGTTCTGAGCACACAGACATTTGAGGAAGCTCCGTTCCAGGCAGAACAGGCAACTCACCTTTTCCAAAGACCCTGTCCACTGCCCTGCCTCTGCACAGGATTCCTGAGGTGCCTTTCTCTCTTCTTGGTGAAATCCTGCCTGTATTCCAAGGTCCAGTTTGAGACACTGCTTTTTCCAGGATGCCACTCCTGATCCTTTCTTTTCTTGTTGGTAATACTCACCCGAGGTTATTTTTTCCACTGATTTTGAGAGAGAGAGAGAGAGAGAGAGAGAGAGAGAGATTGGGTGACTGACTGTTTGCCTCTCACTTGCACCTGAACTGGGGCCAGGGAACGAACCTACAACCCAGTTACATGCCCTTGATCTGGAATCAACCCTGAAAGCCTTTGGTGCCCAGGCTGACGCTCTACCACTAAGCCACACAGGCCAGGGCCTGATCCTATCTTTGATGGCCTTACTTGGTTTTCCTTCCTGGTACTAATCACTTATTCACTTACATTAGTCATCTGGTGTATCTGTCGTATTCCCCCTACTAAAGTGGAAAGTCCCAAGAAGATAGAATTTGAGTCATTCAGTACTGTGCCAAGCGGCATCTCAGATGCCTTGCACACAGTAGGCAGTCTAAAAATAGTTTGTGTCTTATTGATTTTACAGAGAAGATTGAGAAAACGAAGCGTTGCCCAGGAGGCATATAAAAGTCCTATTAAATCAGAGTGGCTTGCGCTAACTATTGTTTTGACTTACTGAAGCCAAACTAGACTTGAACGTCGATGTGTCTTCAGGGAAGAAGCCAAATGCGCTAGTGGAGAAAATTCTAACTTCTGCTGTTTAGCTGGAGAAGTTGAATTGGCTCTGTCATTTCACCTGGTGCCAAGGAAGCAGCTCCCATTATTCTGCCAATGATAGATGATTATCCTCCTCCTAACTCTCTCTCAGAGCCGTGCTGAGCTTCCTTCCACGGTGTGTGCACAGACTGTTCCACAAGAAGTGACAGTTTCTTCTCACAGAGTGTTGCCCCAAAGGTGGCACACACAGAGAGGGAAACTCAAGGGGAACAAGAGAAGCGAGGGCCGCCCCATTTTACAAACCAAGTTATGTGCGCCCTAACACAAAGGCATCCTGGTCCCACTTCCTTGTGAATGAGCAGGGGGTTGTGTGTCTCAGTGGTGGCTGGGATGGCACGAGGGGAAGAGAGTGCGGAATCTAAGCTGTCTTTGTGTTTTCTCCCCTCTCGTGTCTCTGTCTGTCCCCTCGCAGGCTCTGAAAGAGTTCCAGCTGGAATTTCAGATCGGACACAGTCGCCAGGGTGTCAGAGGCAGTGAATCCGAGCTGCCAGCGCGTGCTGCTGCCGGGCTACAGGATGGTGCGGGCAGCCAGGCCGCTGCTGCTGCTCCTCGCCTTCTTCCTCCGCGCGGATGCTGAGAGTAAGCCATTCTCCCCTGCACGAGGGGGCTGGGGCTGGACCAGAATGAGTGGTTTTGTTTGCAGTTGGCACCGGGCTCAGGGCCTCTGAATGGGTTTCCTTTGGAAGTAAATCCTGAGACACTGTGGGATTCTCCTTGGCCACCAGCCAGCCTTTGAAAGCGATTATTGACGTGACTTCCTTACCACTTCCTCTCGCTTTCTTAATGCCCTCTCTTTTTGTGCATCTCACTGCTCCTACTGTTTTGTCCTTTTTTTTATACTCTTAACCAGTTGGGTGGCAAAGATACTATGAGGCCAATGACATAAGGCAAACGGGAGCTCACCAGTTGGTGTTGCCAATAAGTAAATATTGTTCAGACCCATCAGAAACTTCTTCAGTTTTGTGGATATTTCTATGTTTAGCGAAACACACAGTGTCACAGTGAGCCCAATTAAACCTCCCAGCCCCTTATAGCTGTCATAGCAGCTGTTCCCATGTACTGTTTCCGACAGCTGTCGTCGAGTACAGCATTCAAACAAATCAAGCAGAACTGACAACTTCGTGGCGGGATGAAGGGCGTGGAAGTGTGAGAAGTCTGTGGAGCAGAAACAGCAACGTTTGGGTTCTTGGACCCAGTTCATGAGACGGAGATTGTTTGTGGTCAATTAGCTTGCCGATTAATGAGAAGATCACATCTCCTTCGTAATTAGGGCATTATTCGGTCTACCTGGTCCGCATCAGTTTCTTTTCCCATCTGTCCTGTGGCCAGTTGGAAGCGATAGTACTGGAAACAGACATGTCTGTGGCTTGTACTCAGAGCATGTCTGGTTCCTCGGAAGTGGTTTAGCTCATAGGAGAGTTGGCTGTTCTGGTTGGGGGTCCCCTGGTCCTATGAAAATGTGTATCATCTGCAGTCATTAGCTTTTCCCTCCACTGACTGTCAGTGAGATTAAATTTGATTCATGGTAAAGATGTTTCGGAGACACGGATCCTGTGTCGTGTTGGCCCCTATTAATTGCATTTTGACAAGAATTTCCTCAATAGCAGCCAATTTCTTTGTTGAAATAGGAGCTCTGTTTTCTAAAGAGAGCTTTCCAGGAGTGAAAGAATAATGTTAATAATAGGATACATATGGAACACGCATGCTTTAAACACAACATTCTCTGGTTAATAATGTATATAGTTTCCTAATTAGCACTTGGGAGTGTTGGTTTAGAGTGAAGCCAAGGAATTTTTCATACAATGCCAGCAAATAATTAACTGGGAAAAGACCCAAATGAAAGATGCTCTTGTTATTTTAAAGCCCTTTATGTCAAAACCGATTTTAAAGTTGAAATCTAAATTTAGTTTATTAAAGAAATCAGGCATATGGCTTTATTTTCCTGTTTTGGCTAGAGTGAAAAAATTGAGTTGTTTTACAATTGGTACTTTTTGGCAAAAGCATATGAAGACCTTGGGAACCCACTTTAATATCAGATTGCAGTTAGAGATTTTCTTTGTTATTAGGTAGAATTATTTGAGAAGTTATCTTTCCAGATAAGTAAGAATGTTCTTCTACTGAGTACCTGTCCTCGTGTTTAATTCTGTGGTGGGAATTGGCAGGCCTATGTCAAGAGCTTAGGATTACATACAATAATGATGTAAAACATACATTCTAGTATAGGTGATCATCCCCTCCTCCATCTCCTGCCCCTCCCCTGACTTCTCCTTCTCTTTCATCACACTGCCTAAACCGTAGAGTCTTACAAAAGCAGTAACAAGGGCATGGTTAGCAGTTTTTAGTTAAATGAGGATATGTATCCTATTATATATGCATGTGATACCAGCTTTCATAACATCAAAATGTAACCTGGGAAATGATCCATTCTCTCTCACTCTTGCTATTGCAACTGAAGTGTGGGGACAGGGGTCTTGAGACCTTGGCTAATTCATTTTGTTTAGTTTGCCCTTGTCCTTTCAGCCTTGATTTAGTATATGTTCCCTTTATCGGATTCATTTGGCATTGTTGAATAGAGTGTTTAAATGAGTCTGAGGTTCCTGGTGAAACAGGAAAAAAGCCATTTTTTCTTTTGTACATTTTAAAAGGAGAAAGAACATCATTTAGCAATCCACTGGAGGATAGTCATGGTACATGAAAGCACATGGTAAAGTTGGAGATCATTTAAGGCACTAAGAATGTTTAAAGAACAATTGATAAAATAGGATTTAGATTGTAACCCATTAAAGTGTTCCATTACCTTCTCTTACAACACTAAAAAGAATCAAGATATAGGTAGCACTGACGAAAAATTTATTTTCTTCACCATCAAAAAGATAATATTTCTCAGGCTTCTGTTACCTGTGTCGCTGGTTTATTTCTCGATGTCTTCAGTAGCACATTTAGCCATATTTGTTTTTCCTTTTTACTTGTTTTGTATTTTCACAGGCGATTCGGAGTTACATTTCAAATCTTAATCGTAGTTTGTCAGAGCAATTTGAGAACTATTAAATAATTTTCCCCCCTTTTGAAGAAGCAGACTATAAAGCATTAGGGAATGGAAAGAAGCCCCTCTAGTTTACAATGTTAATTTAATGTGTTCAATGTACTGCCTTTTGAAATGATTAACTCCAAAGAGCCAGTGAGTCAGGATTGTAATCTGCTCTGTGGAACGCCATGGGAAAGTGTTAGGTGTGATGTTGCATTAAGTAGGAGAGTAACTTAGAAGCCTTGGTTCAAGCCCAGGTGGAAAAATTGTGGTAATATCCCTAAGCAGAAAATTACAGTCTTTGCCATTGCCAATTTAAAATGGCCTACAGGTCCCCACTAGTAAGTCTGGATGTGTGTATGGATCTCATTCTGCCTTGAAGGCTTGGAATGATTTTGCTTGTTACTTGAATGCATGTACACACGGTAGAGCTACAGTCTAGGGAAAGCTAAGTGTGACTTCTGCTTGCGCACTAGCAGCAGCTCTTCTCATGCCAGGCCAAACAGTGTTCTAGTTTAGATCATGGTCTTATTGAGGTCAATTCAATGATAATGGGCATGCAAATTTGAGATGAATTTAGATTATATAATACTAGAGGCCCTGTGCATGACATTCATGCACTGGGGGTGGGGGTAGGGGGTCCCTCAGCCTGGCCTGCGCCCTCTCACAGTCCAGGGTCCCTTGGGGGATGCCCTACCACTGGCCAATTTTAACTCGATGCAAGCCAGGCAGCTACTGCCCTTTTTCATCAGACTGGTTTCACATCAATGAACTCACTTACCACTTACTGTTACATTCTAGACCTGAGTTGATACTTCAGCCACTATAATGGGACCTGCATGTTTACTGGATCATCATTAGAAACATAACTCTTGATAGTTTAATTCCTCAAGTGGTCTCATTCATCCATTTTCTATTGACTTTTGTCATTTAAAAAAAAATCTCTAATGGCGAACACGCCTTCATTTTCTATCCTTAGTGTTAAGGAACCTTCCTCTGATCCCTGTGAACTCATTGCATTCCCATCCTGTATAAAAGGAATTTGTTTCCCCCCATATGTTGTTATATCACTATATCCAGGGAATGTGTTTATTTCTTTGGCATTGGAGAGTAAGTAGACTGATGTCTATGCTGTAAGATAATCATTTTCCCTTTATGTATTTCCTAATGAGCTGCATAGGTTAAGCATTAAGAAAGTGACCTATGAATTCAAACTAGTATTAAATTCTGGCTGTCATTTTGTAATCTGGAACATGATACATCATGCTCTCTGCCTCAGTTTCCCTATCTTTAAAATGTGGATGATGATGTTGGTAATGATGATGGTGGCGTAGTTAGTAAAAAAGAACTTTAAAGTAGCTAAATTAGCAGCAGCCAGCTGTCTGCAGCAAGGAAAATATTCCAGTTGTTTTATTGATCCCCTAGGCCAGTGGTCGGCAAACTCATTAGTCAACAGAGCCAAATATCAACAGTACAACGATTGAAATTTCTTTTGAGAGCCAAATTTTTTAAACTTAAACTATATAGGTAGGTATATTGTTATTAACTTAATTAGGGTACTCCTAAGACTTAGGAAGAGCCACACTCAAGGGGCCAAAGAGCCGCATGTGGCTCGCGAGCCTCAGTTTGCCGACCATGGCCCTAGTGCAGCCGTGGGCAAACTACGGCCCGAGGGCCGGATCCGGCCCATTTGAAATGAATGAAACTAAAAAAAAAAAAAAGACCGTACCCTTTTATGTAATGATGTTTACTTTGAATTTATATTAGTTCACACAAACACTCCATCCATGCTTTTGTTCTGGCCCTCCGGTCCAGTTTAAGAACCCATTGTGGCCCTCAAGTCAAAAAGTTTGCCCACCCCTGCCCTAGGCCCATTGCAGAGTTTTCTATATTAATTATACCCAGTAAAGCTGTATCTACCTCGTAAGGTTAAGAATATGTTTCAGAATCAACAAATGTGTACACTTCAAAGCATTTTGAGTGTAGAGGGATGTGCTTTTTAAAAAACAAAGTATATTTGTTATCTCTTATCTCTGTCTGTGATGAGACCCTAAGCTTGAAGGATGGAACAGTATCTAAAATATTTGTGAATTACTTATTGTGATTGCCAATAGCCTGGCTGTAACTGATTACTCATTTGTATGATGCCCTCATTCCTTTTCCTTCACATTCTTGGTGTCTCATTTTCCTCAGTTACCTATGATTCACGGGACTCATTTCAAACAGCCTTCATTTGTTTGGGAGCCTCCTCCTTCCTACACATATTCTCTTGCTTCAGTTAATTCTGAACAGCAGGTGTCTTGACATGCAGAATCAAAGAGATTCTTGTGTGGAAACCAATCCCCTCACCTATAATTTTGTGTTTCCTCTTTTCTTTCTTCAGTTTGCTTTTGCTTCATTTATTCATTCACCAAGCTACTGTGTGTGTGTGCACATGCATGAAAAGCTTTGTGCAAAATTATATAGATATAAAGGTTTAAAGAAGTGTGGTTTCGTATCAGTTTGTACTCTGTCTTCAGAATTCATCGTTCAGTTTTCAGAACTCTCCCAAGCA